AAAGCTACACCTTGTATATGGAACCTTCCTATTTTTGAATACCTCGGCTGAAGGGCGCCTTTTGATAGAATTATGTGTGTTACGCTGACACCTGTTATGTTAGTTCATCCGCCACACACACATACACACACACACACCATCGCTTTGTTTTGTTGAACAGCGATGGCGGAATTATTCGCATACAGTCTGGCAGCCGCACACTCCACCCCTCCCCTGTATTTTTGTCTCAGGATACCTTTGCGTCTGCTCGCTGTTTGCTCCGCTGTTACAATGCTTTGGAGTGATCTGCTTTGTGATTAGAAGTACTATCCATTTACCGGCTTTTTGTATATCACTGTGCTCCGGTTCGGTGGTCAGAGAGGAACTGTTGATTATCTCTAATTTACATTTTCTGAGCCACAGTCGCATGTGTTTTCGTATTCCTTCGGGCAAATGCTGACTTGTTCCATCAACAAAACTCAATCCAAGGCGACAAGTGACGGAATAAGTATATATAGAAGCCGTCTGAACTAGTAGTTCTTCCCCCTCCTCCAATACTGAAATTGGGGCTGTAGAGAATGGTACTCAAATTTTGCCTCGGGAAAGCCTTATGACGATTCAAAGCCGGACATTTCCTTACTAGCCTGGCCGTTTTTTTTCTTCCTATGCTGTGGATTATCCTAGTTCTTCAACGCTATCTAATGAGAAAATCAGTTTGACTGTTGACCAACCAACGACTCAAGTTTCCTTTCCGCGTCAGGCGTCTAAAGCTATGGGCGTTTGTATAGTATTCTGGCCATGGTTTTTTGTCTAAGAATGCTTCCTTTGGTTATCCCGTTGCACTGCCTGATCAGTTGAAAATTCAAGGCGGGTTCAATTCTGTTTCTTTCGCACAGAGTGAACTTATTTGGCACGTGAACCTGAATTAATGACTGAAGCGTTACATTCAGGCCGGTTATATCTGAGGACCGCGAACATATCACCTCTATACCGGGCGTTGCACAATATATTATTTCCATCTGAGTTCTAATTTATCTATGAGGAAGTTGGCAAAGAGGGTCCACCGTTACGTCATCTGTCTCTTTATATAATTTATTTGTCTCTTTATATAATTTATATAATTACCAACCGGTATGAAAAAAATACGTGAAGCGGGTCCAATTGTCGACTCAGTCGGGGTGGTGCTCCTACTTGCATAGTATCAACCTCACTCACGCTCGTATTTTGAGTGCCACAGTTCCGGCGACCGCGTCCATGCTTGCTTTATACGTGCTTATCTCTATTTTAACACAACCCAGATTTGAGAAGAAGAGTGCTGGGAATGTCTCCATTCCCACGATGGGTCATCGCACAAGAAGGCGCCAACGTTAGTTGCCATGAGAAGGCGCACCTGGGCCGTGACTATCTCGTCAGCTGTGGTTGGCCCATGTCTCCGACACTATCTCATCAAACACCTCAGTAGATA